ACTAGGAATTAGTGCTCTGCATTTAACCCATCCAAAGTGCACACACACAGCAGTGAACACACACACACCGTGAACACACACCCGGAGCAGTGGGCAGCCATTTATGCTGCGGCGCCCGGGGAGCAGTTGGTGGTTCGGTGCCTTGCTCAAGGGCACCTCAGTCGTGGTATTGAAGGTGGGAGAGAGCGCTTACATTCACTCCCCCCACCTACAATCTCTGCCGGTACGAGACTCAAACCCGCAACCTTTGAGTTACGAGTCCGACTCTCTAACCATTAGGCCACGACTTCCCCGTCCTGTCTGCATCATAAAACATAGTACAAGCTCTGTGTGACCCACACATGTGCCAGGCTTGCCGTTTGTCCACCTGTCTTTCGGCCCCCGTGTTGATCTTTCCATATCATCAGTGTTCTGATATGACTGGTGAACACACTGCATGATGGGAGAGGCATTTATAGTCCCTCTATGCATTTTGTTCCAGGAAAGAGGGGCAGAATGACTGCAGTAATGTAAATCCCTGTGTGTTTTACCCACTGCTCCAGTTTCCATTTGGCCTTAGGTCAGAGGTGTAATCACTTTATTTAGCCTCTGTTTCTCCTGAATGACACAGGCCTGTCCTCCGTCACATTGACCATGTGAGAATGCAGGACTTGAGGAAAGGACCTGCTTTCACCAACCTGGGAAACATTGGTTGTCTTTCCAAACAGACACGCAACTAATCGGCTTTCTGAGAAAGAGGCCTTCTCCATGAAAACTCTTAAGATACAATCTGTGGATGGTCCTGCAGATTTGTCCTACCCTTTTACTAGTAAAGCTAGATTGTATAGCATAAAATAAAATTAAAATCTTGATTTTGATAAGGTATTTTTTTTGTTAGCCTTTTGATATTTAATATCTCAATATTTATGTATTTCCTTCGAAATGGCTTATACTAGCTTTGATGTTAACTGCTAGCATCCTCCTAAAAAATGTATAAAAAACAAAATATTTTGACCAAAAAAATAAAAATAAAAATGGGTAAATTCAAAGTTTAATGCAAGAAAATTTGGCTGAAGTCAAGTTCAAAATAATCAAGTTCACACTATTGTTCCGTAAATTAACTGAATGAATGATTTTTAATTAAATGAAACATTGAATCAGAATTTTGAACCTATTTTTGTAAAAAGTTTAAACTGATTCACATAAATAATTGAATTTACCAACTCTATTGCAATTTTCGCTATATATATGTTTAAATCAGAGTCTTATATCTAGGGCTGGGTTTTGACACAAATTTCACGATTCGATTCTCATTCACAAGCTTTCGATTCGATTACCAGTTCGATTCGATTCAATATAGATTATTTTGGATATATATCAGGTACAGTACATGCCAAATTTTCTCAAGGAAAAAAAAAATCAACTAATGCTGTAAAATATACATGAGAGTCAGTTGGTACTACATTACTATAATATTGAAGAATTAAAATTAATTAAGTTTTTACAATAATAAAGTTACAGTATTAATAACATATTAATAGTAACATATTAATATTTCTACTTCAATTCATTTTTTTTTTTAATATAAACATTTAAATGGTGGCTGTCATAAAAACTTGATGGATTTATTCAAACATAAATTAAACATTGAAGAACAGTAAAAATTATAATGAATATGTTATGTGGTGCATATAAGCAAAATGCCCCTCTCCACAGTTTATTTTTCTATCTGACTAATGAGTTCATAGTCACCGACTATTTTTCTGAGATAAATGTGACATTACGTGACATTGTTTACAAGCTGTTATATTGACGTCTTTGCGCGGCTGAAACACTGATTGAGCGATTACGTGAGACCGGATACGGATTGTAAAGTTGTACTCTTTCTTTTAACTTGCCTTCGGATATTTAGTCATGTTTATTTTGTGCTGAAACGGGTATTAATGTGGAGGAGATGATCAGTTCACGTGCGCCTCACGCTGCCGCATCTGTGTTGAACTGAGGAGCTACAGCGATCTGTCACTCCAAATTAAACGGCGCCAAAACGGCATTTATTGTTTGAATACTGCAATACAATGGACAGAATTTGAAATCTGAGACTTTGTTTCATATGAAATGTACCAAAGCACAATGCCTATTGCAGTTTATTGGATGGGAAGTACCCTTCAATGTTCCGTCCATTAACTGAAAACAGGCTAGACTAATCGATTCTTGGATTTAGGAATCGATATCGTTCCGTAAAAATGAGAATCAATTAATATCGAGATATCGATATTTTTTTACCCAGCCCTACTTATATCTGTTATACTCATGAGACGAGCCCAATGTCCAAATATGTCTATTAATATGCCTAAATGTGGCTATTAATATGCCTGTGCAAAAAAACAAAGTATTAAGTTTGAACACCCAGTATTCAAAAAATAGTAGGTGAAAAGGATGATATTCCTAGTGTGCATCTGATGGACACTTAACTATCCCATGAGGCCACAAGAGAGTGAGTCATGAGTCGCGGAGAAGTGGTGCAGCTGACATCATAGGTCACATGACAATGCAAATTAATTGCATGCATACTACAAACATACATTCTGTAGAACTATTGCAGCAATTCTTCATCAAATGTACTACCTACTCTGGCAGTACGTGATTTCAACACAGCTAAGGTGGAGTGACACATGAAATCATTGTGATATTAAGTTACTCACCAGTGAAATCATTTCAAATAGTCCTGTATATTGAATATTGCTTATACTTTCTAGTCTCATATTCGACTCTCTCAGAAAGAAGTGGCTCAGTACCCAGCCCTCCCCTCTCATTTCCACTGAATAATAGATGAATACTGCGAGATTAGCCAGTGTCCCAGAGGTGCTGCTGGGGGAATTAGTCATTGCAGGGGGCTCAAACTAGTGTTGCTTTCGTCAACGAAAATTATGACTAAATATCGTCGTCAACGAACATTTATCACGTGACGAAGACGAGACGCAACGTAAATGCTGGTCATGTGACGATGACTATAATTAAATGTATAATGCAATATTGTTGACGAATAAAAACGAGACTAAATGTGGTTTACAAAATAAAAACTATGCTAAAATGTCTCTTAATTTTCGTTGACCCAGACTTTTAGTTGACTAAAACTTGACTAGACTAAAAAGAATATGAACGTGACTAAAACTAATAAAAACTAATGACAGCTTCACACACAGACTAGACTAAAACTAAAATTAAAACAGGCCGCCAAAAACAACACTAGCTCAAACGTCCTCTACTGCAGAGAGCCTCATGCTTAATTAGACCGTTGAATTTTAAATATGTATAATCCACACCTTTTTGCTTTCTTTCTTCCATTCACCCATGCTTTAGAGAGGGAAAAAAACACCACATTTCTCTATTTCTGGGCTGATGGGTCATTTTTGTTGCAGCGGGAACAGGAAAGGTTGTTGTTATGTTGTTGTTTGGATTGTTGCTAAGACAGCAGTGGGTGCATCCCATTCGTCAGTCTCTTTCTGTTTTTTTCTGCCCACCCAGCCAACTGACCTCGCCACCCTGCGCTCTGCCGGTGGAATGCGTTCGTCTGGATCGAATCAAGGCCTGAACGCACTCGGGGGGCCCTGCCAGTCAACTCCGAGTCAGTCGAGGGGACTGCAGCAGCAGCTGGCTTTCTGATACCTATAAATATCCTACAGTAGATTCCTGCGGTTCCACAGCCTTTTGGGCCGCTCACTCCCAGGCTTAGCATTCTGATGGTGTGGTGGTGTTGAGACGAGGGTCGGGCTGAATGTTTGGGACACGCCAAATAGCAGAAAGATTGTAGATTCCTATTTATTAATACTGCAGGGATATGTAGCGACCTCCCGAGAGCGGGGTGGACAGTATGTGTGAGATCTGTCAGTGAAAACAGGAAGGGTTAAATTTGGAAAAATGGGAAGAATTATGGTTAGTCACATGCAATAGGTGAATCTGCTGATCCCACACAAAGACATCTTTGAGTCAACAGTTTTTTTTACATTGGCCCTGCTGAGGTGAATGTGTCCTCTCTCTCAATTGTTGAAATCAAAAATAGCCCCCAAACAAGTGCTTTACAGTGGTTGTGGAGCAGTTATGCACATGTGACTTTCATTTCATTCAATCAGAAGAATGGAAATGTTGGAAATTTTACATGTTGGTTTAGCTACAGTGGTGATTTATGGCGTTTTGAAGGCTGACTCAATCCCTGTCGTTTGATCATATAGGGCGTTGATATCTGTTAATAGTTTAGAGCCATTAATAATGATTTTGTGCAGGTGAGCAGTTCACTTTGCATAAAACACTATCAATGATGGATTCAGTTCAGGTATTAATGCGATCCAGGCATAGTTTTTTTTGTATTAATACTACTGTACAATTTATTAATATTTTAAATGGGCTTTTATTGTTATAATTTCAGGTTTCATTTTAATTTTAGTAATTAATTTTAGTTCTTTTTATATTTCTATTTTGCTTTAATATATATTTTTTCACTTTTACAATTAGTAATTTTAATATGTCAACTTAAACTTATTACTTTTAGTTGCCATGGCAACATTTCTAATTAAATTTTTTCATCTGATTCGCATTTTATTTTATTTCAGATTTAAATTTTTTTGTAATTAATGGATTTAAGGGTTCTAATGCTCTTATTGTGTAGTCTGTTACAATTTGTTTGTGTTAACTTGTGTGTTTGCTTTTTTCTTTACTTTGAATTTTGAGTACACATTATGTTTTAATCATTTAATTATTTATACTGTTTCATTATTTTCAATCATTAAAATTCTTATGCAGAACTGTAATGAAAATTGTTTCACTTATAATAAAAGGAAGTATTATATATATATATATATATATATATATATATATATATACATTTATTTCTTTTTTTTAATTGTAAATTTATCAGCATAACAATCTAAATAAATGAGAAATATATCAGCCATCTTGCCACCTTACACTTTTATTGGTCAGTCACTAGGGGGGGAAAACATACTGATTTTCGTTGTCTTTTGCAGCTATTTTGAACCCCAAGAACCCAAAGGAACCACCCAAATCTTTCAGCTTTGACTACTCATACTGGTCTCACACCTCAGTAAGTCTCATTTTCTCTCTCTTTCTTCTTCTGTCCTTTTCCTGCTTTGCTTTTTCTGCTGAGCTGGCTCAGTGGACAATAAAATGCGTGTGGTCAGATTTACAGCTGTAATTAATCATCCCCCAAAATAAAGTCTGTATTAATGTGTTTTGTTCTCTTTTCTTCATTTCTCTGCTAGCCGGATGACCCTTGCTTTGCATCACAGAGCCTTGTGTACAATGACATTGGGGAGGAGATGTTGCAGCATGCTTTTGAGGGATATAATGTCTGTATTTTCGCCTACGGCCAAACCGGAGCTGGCAAGTCCTACACCATGATGGGAAAGCAAGAGGAAGGACAGGAAGGCATTATTCCTCAGGTATGTATGTAATATCACAGCTTAAGTATCACCTTAATGTATCCAAAGTAATAGACATGCTTAAGAGCTCAGCAGTGACTGAGATGTTTCTGATCTCTAAGCAGACATTGCCAGCAGATATTAGCGCTCCGTCTAGCACATCCGGCAGGGGTAGAGTTATTTGTCCTCTGTATCGATCGCTCTCTCTCTCTCTCCTCCCTAATGTGCTCTTTTTGTCCCCCTCCCAGCTCTGTGAAGAACTCTTTGAGAAAATCAATGACAATAGCAATGAGGAGATCTCGTACTCTGTGGAGGTGAGCAGCAGACATATCACGACTCCTCAGTTCATTCCTGTGACTCACTTCACATGCTTTCCATCTATTGAAATGCACTTAACAGCTTTCCATCTATTGAAATGCTGTGTTTGTTGTTACCTCAAAGCATTAAACTCAGCAGTGGGGGGGTGATGTGTTTGTTCAGAGCCCACTAAAGTGTTCAATAATTGAGAGCTAAACATGTTCAGTTACAAATTGACTATGGTATTAAATATGCTGTAAATATTTTTGACAACATGTGGAATAGATTTTAAAAATATATATACTTTCATCTCAGGTTATGTATTCTAAGGTTATATATATCTCAAGTTATATCTGATTTTTATATGCTCATGGTAGGTGGCTTATATGGAGATATACTGTGAGCGGGTGAGGGACCTGCTAAACCCTAAGAATAAAGGGAACCTGCGTGTCAGGGAACATCCTCTACTTGGGCCGTATGTTGAAGACCTCTCGAAACTGGCCGTCACGTCTTACACAGACATAGCTGACCTCATGGATGCTGGTAACAAAGCCAGGTGAGAGAGAGAAAAAAATTGTTGTAAGTTGATACGACTTATAAGTTACTGCGTGGGCAATGTAGAACATTCAAAATCAGGTATTTAAGTTTTTTTTCACTTTGGATGTTGAAGGATAGTGGTTTGACTTTTTGTCAAGTGGGAAATGGAAAAGTGTTGTTGAGTTTCGTCCAGTGATACTTGGACTAATAGTCATGTATAAATGCGACTCTTGGGAAGGAGTAACACGCTTCTAATCCTCCCATACTGATTCCCAGGGTTTATTTGTGGAGAATGTGACGTGTAAACGTTTAATGTTTCTCTCGAGAGCTAGGGCTGTCGCGGTGATTAAATTTCCGTTGCAGTAATTTTGAGTGGCTCAATAGCGCGGTATGCGGTATTATCACCACACACACACATATATATACAGTATCTCACAGAAGTGAGTACACCCCTCACATTTTTGGAAATATTTTATTATATCTTTTCATGTGACAACACTGAAGAAATGACACTTTGCTACAATGTAAAGTAGGGAGTGTACAGCTTGTATAACAGTGTAAATTTGCTGTCCCCTCAAAATAACTCAACACACAGCCATTAATGTCCAATTAAAAATGTCCAAAATGGGCCCAAAGTGTCAATATTTTGTGTGGCCACCATTATTTTCCAGCACTGCCTTAACCCTCTTGGGCATGGCGTTCACCAGAGCTTCACAGGTTGCCACTGGAGTCCTCTTCCACTCCTCCATGACGATTTCACAGAGCTGGTGGATGTTAGAGACCTTGAGATAGGGTTTAGGTCTGGAGACATGCTTGGCCAATCCATCACCTTTACCCTCAGCTTCTTTAGCAAGACAGTGGTCGTCTTGGAGGTGTGTTTGGGGTCGTTATCATGTTGGAATACTGCCCTGCGGC